TCAAACTTAGAAAATGACAATAATCCCATTTTGAAGTTAGAATTTTTTTCTGCCATAAATTTTCCTCAAGAATTCCATCTATTTCTATTCCCACTTCTTAACTCTTAACATTAAATAATTTTTTTAAAACTAATCTCTCTTTTACATTATATATTCTGTCAGCTACTGTAAGAAGTATATAGTATGTTAAATTTTATTTTCACAGGGGAAACTGGACCCTGGGCTCAAATAATATTCCCTCATTTACCCAGAGTATGTCGGAAATAACTGCTGTCCAGGAAGTTGCTCTAGGCTTATATCGGTACAACTGAAGAACAGAATTTTCTCAGTCTTTGAGACAGGACTCAAAAAATAGCAGACTGAATCCATTTTAACTCTAATATGGGCAAGCATTTGCTTTCATAAAATCCTTTTAGAGAGGACCTCACCCTACATCTTCATTATGATTGTTCAAACCACAGAGCAGATAAGCAAAATCTCAGCAAGGGTTCAGATTAGCCAAAATCATTTGATCATGATGAGTCAGAAGGTGAATTAAGGAAATCTTTTGTTTTGCCTTAAAATGTCATGCTATAAAGTGCATCTGCGCAGGAGCTGACTCACCAGACCCTCAGACAATGGCGTGGGGGGGACAAGGAAAACGACCCGGGCAGGGACCTCCTCAGCCAGCCCAGGCCACCTCACGCGTACTCATCCATTATAATCTACGCTTTTGAATGCGGGACAAGAAACCGTTGGTTCATCTTTGCTAAATCAACTCTTTTTTTGCTGGGTTTTACAATTCTGAAATCAATACTTTACAAGGAGTTTAGAATTCATGTTTGCTTTTGCTTCGTCTCATCTCCCTCCAGCTAGTTCAAACACAAAAAAATGGATGGTCAGCAAACCCTAAACAGCTGCTAGCTGGATTAATATCTAAAAATCAAACTATTACCTACACTATCCAAACCTCTCAGTTCAGAAAAATGAAAGCGGGAAGACCCGTAATCTCATTCTTTTCTTTGTCATGCCAGAAACACTCAATAAAAATGCCTTGCAATATATCAAACTTAGTCTTTAAAATAAGCCTGTGGGAAAGATGAGATAGGAGAAAATTTGCAAATTTTTCTAGATCCCCAAAAAAGGGCGAAAAGCTGACCAGCTCAGAGTTACTGTGAGTTTGGAGCGAGGCAGGAATATCAAGTAAACTAACCTCAATCAGTCCATCCTCTGTAGTAACAAAAGACAGAACTTGTTAATACATCAAGAACGTTAAAATTCTTAACAGAATTCTTAACAGCCTCAGAAAAAGTCTGCGTCAAAAGTCCAGCAAGCATTGTTATATAGAAAAATTGTTACATAGAAAGACTGTTATGTAGAAAAACAATCAATTAATCATTTTCTGTCCTTATTCAAATCATGAAAGCACACACAGAGTTGAAAGAAATCTTCTGAACTTCTCACTCAAAACTAAAGTGTGTCTTAAGCTGTCTGCAGGGGATATTAGAGGTGACTTTGGTAACTGCCTTAAAATTTTAACATTCATTAAAAAGTATTATCAATATTTAAATATGTTACTGCAAGGTCAGATTCTGCACTGCTTGATTTTCCTTATTACTTTGATGGGTAGAGGATCAGGGCTGTATAGCTCCTCTGCACATGGAATGTGGTATTAAAAATAATTATAGCAATAAACTAAGTGATAAATAATAGTGCCATGTTACCGGAACAATTAAACAAAAGGATACTCTCACATTGAAAACTTTCCACTGACATGATACTGAAATGATAGCACTAAACGGCCGTCGCTGTTCCCTAACCGCTCCAGTATCTAATAAGATTATTTAATGTGGCTATTTGGAGTGTGTGCACAGATGTGGTCATTATATTTATGGGACAGGAGATACTGAAATTCATTAACAACTCAACCCAACAGGAAATCCTTCATGATGATGTGCGGAGCCAGAGGGACTCCCGAAGGCTGAAGCTGTCTGAATCACAAAGGCAGCCGGGGCCGGGAACGTGTTTGCTCAGCCCAGGCTCCGGCAGCATCGGGAGACCCGCTCGGGCGCCCTGCCCTCGCTCAGACACCCACGCGGGGGGAGCCTTACGCTGCTGACCCACGTCGGCTCATGTGGTCTTTCTGGCACCTGTACTAACTTTGCTTGTAAGAGCATTAAAATAGCCTGTTTTGCTGTTTCGCATGCCATTCTGGCTTTCCCGGAGGGGTGCGTCCATCAGACTGATGGGGCAAATGTTGACTTGGGGAGCGCAAAACCCTCACCAGCTCATTTCTTCTTTCCTGCCGTGGGCAGGCTTTAGGAACAGGTTCCTTGCTGGTTGTTTTTAGCCTATAAAGTAACAGGAGACACTGCAACAGGCAGGACTGTAGAAAATATGAATTTATAATGTATTTAATAGAATAAGTATTAGCACTAATTCAATGAGCACTGAGAGAAAAAATTGTTAATGACAAAGGCGTTTACAGTGAACTGTCTAGGAGAATGGAGGAAAGTAAATCATTACATGAAAAGGGAGCTCCTTTTCTAAAACTACCCTATTAAAAAACTCACTAAAGGGGCAAAGCATTTATTGATTGCTTTCTACTTTCCCACTGCCGAAACTAAGTACTCTTCTATTTACTTTGATTTAAAAAATGCATTATTGTCTACTTTTTAATAAACCAGCCATTGGAACAAGAAACTCAAATTATTCTAAGTTTATTCTTAAAAGTCCTTTTTTTTTTTTTTCTTGAAAGACTGAAGGCCTTAATCCTTAAAAGCCTTTTTGAAAGAAATGTTACTAGATGCTGGCCTTGCAGCTGGGCCCAGATTGAAAGTGCACTTACATTTTTATGTTTAGAACTGAAGGACTCTAAAGTTAGTCCTAGCACTCCACATAAAAGCTTTGGAAATGGCATTCTTTGCTACTCGTGCAATTCATTCTTTAAGAAAAGGAAATGGAAAGAAAGATTTCATGTCCAGGGCTTCAGGCCCCTTTGATCATTTGATGAACATTGGATCCTCAACCTGGGCCTCCAGCTTCTCAGGCCAGACAAAGAGGGCCCCGGCCGCACAGGCTGGGCCGCGATTCCTGCCAGAACAAAACCTTTGGCGGCCGCACAGTGTGACAGCCTGGGAAAGGCCCACCTCAGCAGGGCTGAGATGCCCGCTCTGCCCTTTGATCTTTCATTTAAACTCCAGCCAAAGCCCCAGGTCAGGGGATTTCCAGCGGCACACCCCCATCGGCAGAGGGGAGCAGGTCAAGAACAAAATGGGGGTGACCGCTCTCCAAAGGCCCAGCGACGCCTTTCTCTGGCCAGTTTCACATGACTTGTCGCGTATTGTGAAACACTAAGCCCGCACTTAAAATGGAATTTGACATTACATGCTACAATGGAGTCAATAAATGGCATTCTTCAGTGCTTTTACAACAAAGTCAACCCTTCCTTAAGTGGTTGAAAGCCCAAAGCTGGAAAATACTTCTCATTTACTTCTTTATGCAAGTAAATTGCATATACTTTAAATCTGGTTTTCATTAGAGCTTTTCGTTGCTGAAGACTGAAATGAGACAAACAAACATCTAACAAAGGTGAACATTAATTTTACTAAGCGTCATTGCTTGTATTTTTAGAGACTAGGTTGTCACGTGACATATACCAAGTACCTGAAATATCCCAGAGGAACACCTATTTTCTAATGAGAATGAAAACCTCATCTCATTCCACTGGAAAATTTTCGGTACAGTGCTAAGGAGAAGACAGACATGCAACTTCTTTTAAGATCACTAGCAAGTTCCACATGATACTTGTGCTTGTCCGAGGTAAAGATTTTAAATTTTAACTGTAAAGTGATTGGAACACAAAGAACTAAATAGTCTTACAAATATTTCTCTGTATAAACTAATATATGTTATTACAATCCATCTTTCTTTTTTAATACAAACACAAGTGCATCATGCTAGATCACCTTAGCTTAAGAATTACGCTTAAGAATTAAGCAAGGCAAGTGATGATTTTTTATTTCTAACCCCACAAGATTCCTCTTACCTTAAAATGCAGTCCTATACAACTGTGAAACAAACATAGCCAAAGGCACATGGGGGGGTAAAATATTCAAATAAAGTTGACTGTTACGTCTGTCATATATGATGAGGTTAACACGCCTACTTCTACCCTCCTCCCTTTCAAATACAGCTATCGTATTAAAAATTTTGTTTATTTCTAAGATATTCTAAGATTATTTCAGGGTATCCTAAGTATTTCCCACATCACACCATTCACCAGTCCATAAAAAGTAAAGGTCCCAATCTCTAGAGATTCTGTAGATTTTTCTTTTTAACAAGGAATAATATATAGTTATGCTGAGGCAGATGATTTCTCACTTCATAAAAGTACATCTCTCAGATTAGGAAACGAAGGCACAGAGAAGTTCGATGAGCCGTCCAGCACTGAGCAGACAGCGGCAGAACCGGGAGCAGAGCGCTAGCCAATGTATTTCCAGTTTATTGCCCTAGCCACTACAGCTTTTTTGGTCCTGGAAGACAAATTGGTGCAGGACCCGGCACGTGGGACCCTCGCCTCGGACCAGATCTTCTAGGCGCTACGGTAGCAATGGACAACTATGAAAAGAGAAGTAATTGTATTTGACTGTTGTTGCTGAGTAGGTGACAGCTGAGTGTGCAACAGTCATGAAGCAGCCAAGGAACTAGCTCAGATACCCACTAAACAACGAGTATATCGCCCCAAGGTGTCTTTTTTCCTTAACTGTTAAACCTATTTTAAACGATAAAGCTGAAATTCAAACACCTCTCAACAGCACAAATACATAAAGCCTTTGCTTTTGGTGTTGCGTTTTGAAATCACTACGAGCGTGCAAATACAACTTAAGGACGTTCAGGAACGAGTACAATCTGCCTCTAATTTATTCGAAGGCTTTCTGTGACTATCGCTCCCCGGGTTGTCAGGGCAACGCCACCACAGCTTTCAGGACGGAGAAAGCAGCCAGGCTTGGCATTCTCACCTTTGGCCATTTTATTGAGAACCATGTCAATCAGAATGTAGGTCCCACTTCTTCCTGCACCGTCACTGCCAACACAAAGGGGAAAAGAAAAATAAAGCCCATCAGTGCGCATCTAGACCCAACAAAGAGGTACCTGCCATTAACGGTACAGCATGTTACCCAAGGCGAGGAGGACAGAACGAGGGGAAAAAGTAGGGAATTGAGAAGGGGGGAGAAAGCGTGCACTTAACTAACGCAAGATTCATGTGAGATTAACTATTATTCTGCATGGATAACAGGGACCTCTTTTGATTTTTAAGTCGAGTTGTGTTTACGCAATAAAAATATTTTAAACAGCAGTAGAAAAGTCAGTAATCTTTGACCAGGAAGCCACTCCTACGCATAAAGCGTGCCTATAAGGAGCTTATGGTCACTTGGGTGTGAGACGAAGAAGCACAGAATAAGCTAGCTGCGAGAGAACTGAAGAACGAAGAGCAGCCAGTGTCATCCCCAAAGCTTGCAGACTGTATTTGAACACAGCGGTCAGAGGCAACACATGCACGGACCTGTCCAAGAACTTAAACACTCAATTATTGATGCTCTATAGTCCCTCTTCACTGTAAAACAGGATATGAACCATCTGAACTTGAAAAATAATGAGCGATTTGTTTCTTATTTTTACCCTTTCTTTTAATTCTTCCTCAGATGCAATGAACAGAAAAAATATTATTACGCAATTGAGAAACAGCTTTAACTTTTGGGCAGCATCGGTCCCTCCTCAGAGATGGGTGAGCAAGCCCTGGGAGGAGGAAAGCTCCCTAATCTGGATGCAGCTTGTGTCCCTCTCAGAGAGCAACTCGTAATTGCCAGCGTGATGTTCTTTTAGAGCTGCTGTTAGCAAACATAATTAAGACCTTAAGTAAAAGCTTTTTTTTTCCTTCCCACCCCCAAATTTTTACAAAGGTGAATGTGTGACCAATTAGACTGGCATGCAGTTTTATTAATTAAGCCATTATTTTTATTGATAGCTCAATTTGTGTACCGGAGTTAATAAAAGGCAAAACAATAGAGCAGCGTGAAGCACATTATTGTATTCCATTTACAGGCAGGCTATGAAACTTAGTTTTTGTTAAGACTCCGCAGACAGAAGTTTTTTCTTTATCAGTTACTAGAGCACTTCTTAGAGAGAAGGAGGTAATAGTAATAATTTTTCTCTTTTTTTCTCTGCACTCTGTAGAGCACCTCCTCGCAGCCGGAGGTAGGTGGCCCAGCTCCTCACCCGCGGGAACACAGGTGAGAAACACGCTCCCCGCACTCCCGCAACAGAAGAGTGGAGTGCCACATATTAAACAACTTTCCTTTTCGTTATAATCATTTTTTTATGCTCCTTGTCTCCAAGAGTATCTTAGAGAGACACATACAACACCTTTCTTATATCTCAGAATCTCCAATGGTAGAAACAGTTATTAACATTATAACAAGTTAACAAGTTATTAACATTATTATTGTAAAGTTTTATATTGACCTGTCCAATAGCTTTTGTTTACATCCATCAGGCTGTCAGGCCTAAAGATAATCTATGCTTAAAGGATTACTCAGTCTCGGGGTAGGTTTCCATTCCCTGACACTGCCCTGTTCGTATCATGATCACGAAAAGCAAAGAAGAAATAAAACACAACTGAGTGTTAATAAAAATAAAAGGCTACATTGGCAATGCATGGAACCACTATAATTTTGAAGTAGATTTATGAAATTAAAGTCCCATATATATTTGGAAAGCTAGTTGTAGATTGTAATTTGTGAAACAACATCTACTAAATCACAGTAAAGGGTAATTTTATTATGGAAATGGAAACTAAGCATTAATTAGCATTAAAAAACATATGAATTATATGTCATACCTTTGGCCTACCTTACTATATGTTTAGTGATCCATCTAAAGCTTTAATTTGCCCATTTTGGTTATATTTACATCATATTCTTACACATAAAATCTCTCTAAAGCTATTTTAGAAATTGTACTTGCCTGCAGTGAACAACTACTGGACAAGAGCGACCCCTGTAGCACTTGTTTACTTTTCTGCAATAAAACAGACACAAAAAATTAATTGAAAATATTATATAACTGTTTCTTTAGCCAGTCGCCAAAAATAAGCAATAAAAAAGGCAAATATTGCAGTCTTTAAAGAACTAGTCAGGTTGATCATTTCCTAACATAACAAGCAATTTTTATGTACATAACCTCGTTGAAAGTTTGCTTCTGTTTTCCTATTGTAGAAATACCAAGCACTACCTCTTTGTAACTATTAGCTACACAAAATAAATAATGTCTTTTCTCAGATGTCTCACGTTAGCTCCAAACTGAGGTCATAATGAGATACTTTCATTTTAGAGGCTAACTTTGAGTTCATGAGCTTGCTCAAAGAAATACTTGAGGAGCATCAACCTGAATCCAGAATTAAAAATGGGTATTCCAGTATATTTTGTATAATGTGTGCGTATTTGTAAAACAAATTCTCTCCAGAACAGTAAATAGCAAACCTTCAGGAAAGCTTCTCACAAATTTCTAAAACATAATCTCTTCACAGTAAAAATAACTAAAACCATCAGTAAGCTTTACTGCTTTGATTCCAGTGCAAAGATCTTACAGACTTAACATTGACAAATTATTTTCTTCTCCAGCTTCCTAGGCAAAGATTTGCCATGGCAAGAGACGGCACTTGAAGTCAAACCATAGAAGCACGGCTGCAGAACAGACCTGCTGATACCTGAACTCAATGAAGCAATAACTAGCGCTGAAGCAAATGAAGATACTCAGCCTAAGATTCCAAACACAGCCCACAAAATCGGTTTAAATCTATTTAAATTGCCTTACAAAAACCCAAATCCCACACCTTCTCTTCCACAACAGAATGTGTTTTACATGTGTTGCATACCCCAAACCATAAAATACGCACACACGTTAACAAGGCAAGCCGAATAAAGGATAAAAGGGGAAAGCATTTCCTCAAGAAATCAAAACCTTTCACATTTCTTAGTTAGGTATCTGAATTTACTAGAGCTAGATGGTGTCCTACAAAACCATTCCATCGGGCAGCTTCTGGGGGATGCCCAGATGCTCTTATAGGTACCAGCTTGGCGTGAGTGTTACAGAGCATCCTGACCGTTGCACTGACAAAGTGGGCTCCTGGAACTTGGCAACTGTGGTATTACGCTATTATGAATTTCAAAGCATAACTGACCTACGGAATCATTTAGTTCTTGGCTGTTCATCCATTCAGTAACACTGGTGCTGTGAAGACATGTATATATCTTTAAATACTGCATACTGTATAGCCTGAAGAGACCTAATCTTCTACATCTGAAAGGCAGTCTGCTTGGATACCTAGAACTCAGCTCAAACAGGCTACGGAGATGCTGGTGATGTCCCACGAATCCATGCTTTTATATTCTGCTTTTTATCATTTAAGATTGTCACCAAAGTTGATAACAACATTAAGTTCTTGTAATGACTCCCTTTAAATAAGAGAATTCAGGATTTTTCACAATTCTTACTCTCTCACTCACATATGTAAATCATACTGTCAGCGACTTTGTGTATTTATATTCTTCTATGTAAGTAATTAATGTGAGAACAACTCAGTTTGTATGAAACGGGTAGTAAGCCACTGCGAAGCACCTGACACTGGGAACCGAATGGACCATTTATATGTCCACAAACGGGCAGCTGTGCAGGCGCTACCAAGCAAAACTCACATCTTTGATAGAGTTTTAAAGACTTGAGCTGCAGTAGGGCTCACGAATGAATTACTGAATTCTTGATGGTCGTTATCTGAGGACCAACTCTTTATATATAGCATAAAACCTGATACTTGCTTTTGGTATCGTGCTGTAAGTTAAATTTTAAACGTCTGAAACATCAGCTGATACAAGGAGTCTGCATTCTCCCATGTGCAGCTGGTCACCCTCTCTCCCCTGCCTCATGTGCTCTAGCAGAGAGTAGCTTCTGCATTTCAAGTATTACATAAAAGCTAATAACTACAGAAGGGCATTTACCACTTTTTTTCCTGCTTTGTTCGTTGCATGGCACCACCAATATGACATTAGCATGTTGTGACTAGCCACCTACCAAAGTCCTAATATAGCTTCAGTGAAAAATTTAAAACAAAG